AAAGTAGGGGAGACCGGGTATGGTTGTAACATGGGGAGAGTTGTAACACCACCAGTTCCAACAATCAGGGATAAGATAGGAGTCACATGATCATTCCAGCATTTACCCGCTTCCTCCCCAATCCCATATTGTGATTGTCAAGGCTGGAAACAGGCACATGCAGATACTAAGGAGAAAAAACGGATTTTGAGGTAAGAAAGTAAATTTTTTGATCATGACTATATTTTGTTTAGTACTTATACTGTTGCAGATAAAACCATATGACTTACATTAGATGAAAGTGTAATTTCTCAGGCAAAATGTGATGCATTTTCCCGTGCTAATTTCAAACCGCTATGCTACTACAGCTAGCTAAACATGGCTGACAGGGTTGGGGTGGGTTGTAACACATCTTTAAAAAGTGTTACAACCATCCCCTTACATACAACTAAGAATATTTTTATTTTAATCATTTTACAGAATGCCTAGGCAGTGAATACAAAAGACTGATGCTACTTACCTTCCCCTCCCCACTGTTGCCATAAACTTCAGCCACTGGATCGCAGTGTCTACGCCCCATTTAAGAAAATGGTGAACGCCGCAAGTGATGCCTGGATGAAGATGAATCCTGCCAAGACGATATATGATATTCCAAGTATTGTGAAGACTGCTCTGCCTGCAGCTGCAACACTGAAAAACATTCAAGCCGGTTTCCAATCCACTGGTATTTGGCCCTTCAATCCTGACATTTTTGAGGAGTGTGACTATGCACCCTCACAAGTCACTGACCGTCCCGACCCAGGTACATCACTGACATCTGAAGCTTTCCAGCCGCAGTCTCCACCAACTCACCTGGGGACAGTCTCCTCTCCTCCAACTCACCTGGAGACTACTACTTCTGGCTCCTCTGCAGTTATTGATGTGAACATGTCCTGTGCTCCAGATGAGCCAAGCACCTCGGGGGTGTCTCCTGGTTAGCCATTCAATCCTTTGGCTATGTGGCCATTTCCAAAAGCAGGGCCAAGGAAAACAACTGGCAGGATCAGGAAGAAAAGGAAATCTGAAATACTCAATGACACACCAGTGAAAGAAGCACTGATGGAAGAAGAACAGAGAAGAGGAAGCAAACATGTAAGGAAGAGTTTCTTTGCAAAGAATAAAGGCAAGCAAA